ATATACACACCATGCAATTAAGTGGCTTTTTGTATATTCACACAGTTGTGCAACATCACCGCTATCTAATTCTGGAATATTTTCATCACCCCAAAACACTGCCCATTGGCAGTCACTCCCTATTCTCCTCTTCCCCTGGCAAGCACTAACCTACTTTCTATTTCTATAGATCTACCCATTCTGAACATTTCATATAAATGGAAGCATACAATATGTGGTCTTTGTGTCTGGCTTCTTTCACTTACCATAATGTTTTCTAGGTTCATCCTCACCATTCCACGTATCAGTGCTTCATTCCTTTTTATGGCCAAATGATATTACATTGTATGGATATACTACCTTTTATTTATCTATTTGTCAGTTGGAGGGCATTTGGGTTGTTTCTATATTTTGACTATTATGAATAATGCTGCCATAATCATTCATGTGCAAGTTTTTGTGGACATATGTTTTTATTTCTCTTGGGTATATACCTAGGAGTGGAGTTCGTGGGTCATATAGTAACTCTATGTTTAACATTTTGAGGAACTGCCAAACTGATTTCCAGGGCAGGTGCACCATTTTACATTCTCACCAGCAATGTATGATGGTTCCAATTTCTCCACATCCTGTGAACATGTAGTATTATCTTTCTATTTTATAATAGCCATCCTAGTGTGTGTGAAGTAACATCTTATTGTGGCTTTGACTTGCATTTCCCTGGCGGCTGATGATGTTGAATATCTTTTCATTTGCTTACTGGCCATTTGTATATGTTCTTTGGAGAAATGTCTAATCAAATCCTTTGCCTATCTCTTTTAAATTATTTTTTTTTATTTTTTAATTATATGTTACATTTATGCTATTACAGTTGTCCCAGTTTTGCCCCTTTGCACCCCTCCACATAGCCTCCTGCACACATTCAGGCAATCTCCATACCAATGTCCATGTCTATGGATCATACATATAAGTTCTTGTGGCTACTTTATTCCCTATGTTGTACTTTACACCCCCATGACTATTCTGTAACCACCTATTTGTACTAATTCCCTCACGTAGTCACCCATTCCCCCACACACCTCTCCCATCTAGCAACCATCAAAATTCTCTCTGTATCTGATTCTTTTTCTGTTATGCTTGTTTATTTATTGTTTTAGATTCAGTTGTTGATAGATATGTATTTATTGCCATTTTATTGTTCATATTTTTAATCTTCTAATTCTTCTTCTTAAAGAAGACCTTTTAAAATTTCATATAATGCTGATTTAGTGATGAAGAACTCCTTTAGCTTTTTCTTGCCTGGGAAGCTCTTTATCTGTCCTTTGACTCTAAATGATAGCTTTGCTGGGTAGAATAATGTTGGTTGTAGGTTCTTGCTTTTCATCATTTTAAATATTTCTTGCTAATCCCTTCTAGCCTGCAAGGTTCCTTTTGAGAAATCAGCTGACAATCTTATGGGAGCTCCCTTGTAGGTAACTAACCACTTTTCTCTTGCTGCTTTTAAAATTCTCTTTGTAGTTAACCTTTGGCATTTTAATTATGATGTGAACTCTTTGGGTTCATGTTGTGTTTGGGACTCTGTGCTTCCTGGACTTGTATGCCCATTTCCTTCACCAAATTAGGGAAGTTTTCCATCATTATTTTTCAAATAGGTTTCCAATTTCTTGCTCTCTCTCTTCTCCTTCCAGCACCTCCATGATGTGAATACTGGTATGCTTGAAGTTGTCCTACAGGATCCTTACACTATCCTCATTTTTTTTTCTCCTTGCTGTTCTGATTGGTTGTTTTTTGCTCCCTTATATTCCAAGTTGCTGATTTGATTTTGATTCCTGGCTTCATCCACCCTACTGTTGATTCCCTGTAAATTCTTCTTTATTTTAATTAGTGTATCCTTCATTTCTGACTGGAACATTTTTATGCTGTTGAGGTTATCACTAAGTTCATCGAGCATCCTTATAACCAGTGTTTGGAACTCTGCACCTAGTAGATTGCTTGTCTCCATTTTTTTTTTTTTTTTTTAGTTTTTTTTCTGGAATTTTGTTCTGTTCTTTCATTTGGGATATATTTGTCTTCTCATTTTGGCTGGCTCCCTGTGTTTGTGTCTATATATTAGGCAGAGCTGCTATGTCTTTCCCAGGCTTGGTAGAGAGGCTTACTGTAGTAGGTGTTCTATAAGGCCCAGTGACACAGCCTTCTCTATTACCCGTGCTGGGTATTCAAGGTGCACCCACCATGTGGGCTGTGTATGCTTTCCTTTTGTAGTTGAACCTTGATTGCTGTTGGCACATCCAAGGTCAACCACCACCTGTGTTCTGTCCAGGGTCACACTGAATAAGCTGCAAAATGATTGCAGATAGCTGCTACTTGTACTGGGTTGGAGGTGCCCAGGTGAGGCCAAGCTCTGAATCAAGGCCTTCTGCTGCCAGTGCCAGGCCTGGGGTCACTTAGCAAGAGGTATAGGGCTTGCTGAAGCCAGATGTTGCTTGGTTGAGAGAATTTAGGGAAATCTGAAGCATGGCCAAAACAAACCATTAGTATGGAAAAACCACTGGAAACAGCTTGGGTAGGCCCAAAAGTTGGGTGGGGCAGGGCCTCAGGGAAATACCAGGGTCAGGCAAACAGTGTGAAGCAGGTTGATGCAGTCTCAGATATGGTACCCTCCTGTCAGCTCTGTGGCTCTGTTGGGGGAAGGCTCAGAAAAGGAAAAATGGCCTCTGCCAGCAGTTCTGTCTGGGAGAAATCTGCCTCCCAGCTCTTGTCCTGATGCCAGACAAGGTGGTTTCTCCTGTATGTCTCTGATGCCTTTTAATCTGCTGCCACCATGCTGGAGCTCAGAGGGAGTGAGTCCAAGTAAGTCTGTGTGCAGGCCCTTTAAGAGGAATTGCCTGGGACTCAAGAAGTCTCTGTCTTCCACAGCCTTAATCCCTACTAGTATTTATAGCCAGAAATTATGGAGACTTACCTTTCTGGCACTGGAACCCTGGAAGGCGGGCCTGATGTGGGGCTGGGACCCCAAACTCCTGAGATTTTCTTCCCAACTTTTATCTGCCACATGTGGGTATGGGACCAGCCCGTTCTGCATCTCCACCCCTCTTACCAGTCTCAGTGTTGTTTCTTTTCTAATTTCTGTAGCTGTAGGACTTCCATTCAGCTCAATTTCTGATGGTTCTGAATGATGGGTGTTCTATAGTTTAGTTGTAATTTTGATGTGCTTGTGCGAGGAGGCAAGCTGTATTTACCTGCACTGCTATTTTAACTAGAACTCCTTTGCTCATTTTTAATTGGGTTGCCTTTTTATTATTGAGTTGTAAGTGTTCTTTATATATGCTTAATACTAGACCCTTATCAGGTATATGTTTCTCAGATATTTTATCCCATTCTATATGTTGGGTTTTTTACCTCATTGATAGTGTTCTTTGAACCAAAAGAATTTTTTTAAGATTTTATTTATTTATTTTTATTTATTTTTATTTATTTTTAGAGAGAGGGGAAGGTAGGGAGAAAGAGAGGGAGAGAAACATCAATGTGTGGTTGTTTCCTGCACACCCCACACTTGGGACCTGGCCTGCAACCCAGGCATGTGCCCCAACCGGGAATAGAACCAGTGACCCTTTTATTTGCAGGCTGGTGCTCAATCCACTGAGCCACAGCAGCCAAGGCAGAATTTCTAGTTTTGATAAATTTTTTTATATGGTTGAAGGAAGGAGTCCAACTTCATTCTTCTGCATGTTGATACACAGTTGTCCTAACACTATTTGTTGAAAAGACTATTCTTCCCATCACTGAATTGTCTTGGCACCAAATGCTATCTTTAAAGTGCTGAGAGAAAATAACCATCAACTTAGCGTTTCATGCCAAGATTAACTATATTTCAATAAAGAGTGAGAACAACATTTTCAGAAAACGAAAACTGAGTGAGTGGTTTTTACCAGCAACTGACCCTCACTTAAGGAACTCCTTAAGGGGTGTACTTCCAGAAGAAAGAAGAACATTCTGAGATGCAAGAAGGAGCATTTCAGTAGCAGCATCTATCTATCATGCTAAAAGAGCAACCCAGGTCAGCAGCCACATCATCCTGCAGCCTGCCAGGCAGTCATCCCATGAGTCGGATTCTCTGTGGCAAGGTGAAGGTTCTCTGTCTTTAGGCTTCACATATTCCTGGGTAATAACAGAAAATTCAGATGACCGTTGGCTAGCACACTAAGGGATCAAGGGGAGAATGGCATGCAGAGGAAGCCTACCAAAAACCATCTAGCAAAGCCCACATCTCCTGGGAGTCAAGAGAAACAGATCAATCAGAAGCCTATAATCAGAGATCAATGGTGGGTGGCCTGTCCTCCCATGCAAGCACACCCTGTGAGCCTTAAGTAGTTGTAAGGCAAGATGGGGCATCTCTCGCTTCTCCAAGATGCCTTGGTGTGCTTAGAATTGAGACTGCTTCCATTTCTGGGTGGTGAGACCGTGTCAGGCATAAGCCATGTGTCTGTCACTCTCTCTAAATCCCTTCCTCCTTGTCTTCCTGTTTTCTTCATTGTTTAGTGTTCATACAACAGTAAATCTACTGTAATTGACCACAGACTTATTCACACATCTTTAAAAAATATCTTCCACAAAATCCAATGGTATTTAACACCAGTAGAATGGACCTTAGGTACCATGATCACAAATCAGGCAAAACCATGTGAGATTTCCAGATTTCAGTTGAATATCATTTTAATATATGGAAGTATTGAGTTGTCCTGAGACCATGAAAAAAATGCAGAATTCCTATAAAGTTCAAAGTTCTTTAGACCTAGGCAGGAAGATATGTACATATCTTTTAAGAGTCAAAAAAAATAAAGAATTAATTGTCTGAAAGGAGACTAGGCTTGGGATGGTGAGCATGCAATAGAGTATACAGGTGTATTATAAAGTTGTACAACTGAAATGTATATAATGTAATTCACCAATATGACCCCAATAAATTCTTTAAAAGAATGGCTAAAATAGACAACCAAGTAGGCCCAGTTGTCGCGTGCACCATGTCTGGTTCCTCAAGTGTCACCGCTATGAAGAAAGTGGTTCAGCAGCTCCGGCTGGAGGCCAGGCTCAACCGCGTGAAGGTTTCCCAGGCAACTGCAGATTTGAAACAATTCTGTCTCCAGAATGCCCAACATGACCCCCTGCTAACTGGAGTATCTTCAAGTACCAATCCCTTCAGACCCCAGAAAGTTTGTTCCTTCTTGTAATGAAATGAATCTTTGAAGAAACCCTGCGATGTGTCTGCTTAATTGAAAGTATTTTATAAACTGCCATTTAGATGGATGCTGTAAAATACAAGATGTACTGCTGTTCAAAAAAATAAAAAACTATTGTTCTTTGACACTTAAAAAAAAAAAGAATGGCTAAAATAAAAATTTAAGAAGTAAAAAAAAAAGAATCAATTGGCTTTCTCAGCCTGGAATGGGGGCTTGCAGACTTAAATGAGAAGACTGAAAAATTAGATACAATGTCAGGGGCCCATGATCACCTCTTGAAGTTATAGAAGCATTGATGTAGCAACTCTAAATGTCAATGCTATTCTTTTTGCAAACTCAAGCTTACTGGGAAGATGATATAGTGGTTTTCCTAGCAAAAGTGAGAGGAATTGCCCAGCTCTCTGCATCTCCAGAACTCATGTGTGGCCAAAATTTCTGGTCAAAAGTAACTGAATTTCACTGGGATGATAACCACATTCCTTAGCAGGTAACATCTTTTGACTCAGGGAAGGCTTCTGATAAAATTTAGAAATGTTTAGAATAGCCCATATTTTCTTGAAAAGAATCTGAGTAGCCCTGGCTGGTGTGGCTCAGTGGATTGAGTGCTGGCCTGCAAACCAAAGGGTTGCCAGTTTGATTCCCAGTCAGGGCACATGCCTGGGTTGTGAGCCAGGTCTCCAGTAGGGGGCACGTGAGAGGCAACCACACATGGATGTTTCTCTCCCTCTCTTTCTACTTCCCTTCCTCTCTCTCTAAAAATAAATAAATAAAATCTTTTAAAAAAAAGAATCTGAGCAAATTGGGCATTCCATACACTTGTAATGTTTAAGAAGATTTAGCCTATTTGAGTACGTAATAGTAATGTGACACTAACTTAAAGTATGTAATTGATATAGAGTTAGAATTTTAAGTTTAAATTGTACTGCCTATGTATGGTACCAAAATATTCAAGAGAATTTTAAGTTCACTGGATTTAAAAGTGTAATTTATTCAGTCATGTTATTTAATAAAGTTATTAATATTTGAGAGTTTTGTTCCTACAAACAGATGAAGAACTTTAAAAAGAAAGGGACTATATTGCATTTTGATGCATGTGGTAATCTCTCGAGTGGCAGCCTATGACAGACATTACTGGTCCCTTACTCAATCCATTCTCTCACTTACAAAACAGAGATTTATTCAGTTATGGAGGGGCCTTGTGACTCAGGAGAAGCTGGGCCCCTCCCCAGCCAAGGGGGGAATGCTGATGAATCAAAGCCAAGGGCTATAATTCCGTTCCCCTTGCTAATGATTGGTTCGGGAAAGGAAATGAGATGACACTTTGACCAAAGATCAAGATGAAGAAGTCTGCTAGGAGGCTTCCAGGAAGGTTAGTAAGGTTTTCCACTGAAAAAGGAGTACAAGGAAAGCGATGTGACTCCTCCCTTCTGACCCTGGGATGTAGTGTGAGGATGTGATGCCTGGAGCTGATGCAGCCATTTTGTGAGCATGAATGGAGGCAATAACAACTGAGGATGGCAAAGCATAAATGTAAAAAGAAACTGGGTCACTGAGCCTCTGAATTAGTGTGTTTACATAATACATTCTCCTGATTGCTTTTAAAAAATGTTTCCGACAATCCATCTTGTAGTACTCCTCTCCTTATTTTAAGGATTCCTCTTTGATCATCATTAATCTTGCATCTTCCCCTTCGTAGATAAAATATTTGCTTATTCTTGTTGATTTATGTGAAATAAAGGATATTTTCAAATCTACAAAAGGATAGAGTTATTTGGGCTATTTGTCCTTGTTACTTTTCAATTCTACTTTCTAATTTCAGATTCTTTTTGAAGGCTAAGTCTTGGTTAATTTTCATAAAGTTTGAATAGAATGTATATTCTCTGTTGGGTATAACATCCTATATATTTTCTATTAAAGACTGGGGCTAGGGACATCTTGAAGGCTTATTCACTTATATGTCCAATGCCTGGGCTGACAAGACTCAACACAGCTGGCAGCTGGTATTGCTGGGCTCGTTGGTATCCCTCTATCCCTATATGGTCCCTCTATATGATGGCTTCAGGGTAACCAGGCTTCTTATATGAGGGCCCAGGGCTCTAAAGACATGTGTTCCAAAAGGGATAGAGTCAGGAAGAAGCCATACGACCTATTGTGATCTAGTCCTGAAAGTCTCACAGCATCACTTTGGCCAAATTCTATTCATTACAAGCACATCTCTAAGTCCATCCCATGTCCAAAGGGAGAGGAATTAGACTCCATCTTCAATGTGTCAAACGACTTGCAAACCTGTTTTAAAATCACCATACCTTCCTAACATGTCTATAGAACATAAAAAACATGGGCATGTGTTTATGTCCCCACCTTTAGTCCCTTGGCTTTTCTTTGAAATCCCTACTTTCCAACATCACTCAGGCTACCATGTCACTTCCGTAGCCTACTCTGCGCTCATTCTGAAATTTTGTCCCTTTCTAGTCATGCTTGTATTCTCTAACCCTCCTATTCACTCCCTTTTGCTGAGTCCTGTTAAAATGAGGGATAATAAAACAATGATTATTGTCATTTTAAATCACAAAGTTTTGAGATGATTTGAAAGGCAGCAATGTCATTAAAAACCACTGCCTTATTTTGAAGACTAATTTTCTAGTGCAAAGATCAGAGTGGAGATGTTATCCTGGTCATTCTAAAGGGATAAAGTCCCAAGTTTGTGTGTGTGTGGTTGAGATAGGGGGTTTGGAAAGGATGTCTAGGAAAGACAATACATAGGTTTTTGAGAACACTCTAGTGAATGCCAAGCACCAGTGTACCTTCCTTACTGAGAGCCATATTGGGGTTATTATACCGTAGGGGTGTAAAAACATTTTTTACTCCCCTGCATTTTCTTCTAGCTGGGCTAATAATCAAATTAACAGAGACAATTAACAGGAGAATTTGTACAAAGTTTATTGCAGATGTACATACCAGGAATGTCATAAGATATGAGACCCAAGGTACATTTGACAGTTCAGGCTTATATGCCTTTCTGGACAAAGGAGAAGGGGGCAGGGGTTCAAGATTTCAAATGGGGAAATAGGCAACTCACAGGTAGATGAGAAAGAGTGAAACATGTGTGGCAAACAAATTCCTATAAGACAATCCAGAAACAACAGGACAGTGGGGAGGAAACAGACTTTGCTAGACTTCTTCCTGTCTGTCTCATAGGTACTGAAGTGAATATGCTAAGGTGATTATGCTGTTTCCCTTCTTGAAGCAGGTTTTTAAATCTGAATCCTTTAGGTAGCAAAACGGGAATGTCAACGTTTCTTTCTGAGTCTTGTTCCTTTTTTCTTTTTAAAATATGTGTATTGATGGGAAGCAGGGAGAGAGAGAGAAACATTGATCTGCCACCTCCTGCACACACCGCAACTGGGAATCGAACCGGTAATCCGGATATGTGCCCTGACCGGAATCAAACGGGTGACCTTTTGCTTTGTAGGACAACGCCCAAGCAACTGAGCCACACCAGTCAGGGCTAGAATTTCTTTATCTTACATAACTGCAACTTTATACCCATTGATGAGCAACTCCCCATTTCCCCCCGCCCCCTAAGGTTTAGCCTTAATTAATTTTTTTAGTTAACAAAACATGGGAGAAAAATATATCCCCATTTTATGTTTAAGGTGTATCTAATCTTCTCAAAAATAAGTCAGCCAAAAATATAAACTTCACATATCTTATTAAGAAATCCTTGAAGTGCCCTGGCCAGTGTGGCTCAGTTGATTAGAGAATTGTCCCATAAACTGAATGGTTGTGGGTTCGATTCCTGGTCAGGGCACATGCCCAGGTTAGGGCTTCAGTCCCAAGTGGGTGCCTGCAAGAGACAACTACTCAATGTTTGCCTCTCACATTGATATTTCTCTTCCTCTCTCTCCCCTCCTTTCCCTTCTCTCTAAAAAAAATCAATAAGCATGTCCTGGGGTGAGGATCTAACTAACTAACTAACTAACTAACTAACTAACTAACTAAATAAATAAATAAATAAATCTAGCTAACCTTAAAAAAAATCCTTGAAGTTTAAGACTATACAATACCAAAAATATATGCTAAATAATAAATTTTCAGCATGAATTCTTCTGGATATCCGTTATTATTGGAAAGGAGACCCTGAATATAAGTTAAATCACAAAAAAAGATGGCAAATTCTAACTAATTTCAAAGTTCTCTTAGAAAACTAAGGACATCAGAAAATATTGAATATGTTTTTAAAATAGGACAAATTACAAAATTATAGATTTTGTAATAATATTGCCTCTCACACACCTTTACTAATCAAGGCATTCATATTCAATAAATAGTCTTTGAGTAGCTAATTTTAATAATCATTTCTGAGTCTTTTATATATCAGGTGCCTTATTATATGATCACGTCTAATCCTTTTAACAGCATTTAGGGTATATTATTTTCTTTACTCCTATTATACAGGTGAGGAAACTGAGGCAGAGAGAAGCTGAGTAACTTGCCCAGTTACTAAGTGACCATACCCAGATGTGAGCTCCAGGCATTGTGTCCAGTACTCTTCCTTTTAACCACTATCCTCTGCTGCCTCCATGTGCCCAGCAAGAAACTCAGGCGCTGAGACAGAGATGTTTAAGACAAGTTCTTTACTTCAGGGAGTTGATGCTAGAGTTGAAGAGATCAAGGAGCCCAGGAACAAATACTATACAAAGGGTGGAGCAAAAGTAGATTTACAGCTGTGAGTATGTAAAACACAGACTTTATTCTTGTATTATCATTTAATAATTATTGTATTATTTTCCATAGGAACAACTGTAAACCTACTTTTGCCCCACCCTGTACATCTTTCTAGGACAAATTTTACTAGTTTGGGGTTAAATAAACTCATGTGGCCTTTTTTTTTTTAACATTTAACATTTTTAAACTTACACAAAAGGAGGGTAGTATAATGAACCCCCATGTACCCACCACCCAGTGTAACTAATATCAATTTATGGCCCATATCAGTTCATCTATGCCCCACCTACTTTTTCCTTCCCCTACTTCCTCCCTTTTCACTTTTTTTAAACAAATGCCAACCATCACATTCTTTTATGCACAAATACTTCAGTATGTATCTTTTAAAGA